TTAGTTTCTTTTAGGTACCCAAGCATTTTTGGGTCCTTGATGATTAGTAACTTTTGGTCTCCAAATCCACTTTCCAGAAGAATATTTTCTACAATTAAAATATTTGTGACCAAGATCACCGCAAGTGAAACAAATAATTTTAGTAGAAAATTTAGGAGAATAAGATTTAGAATTAGATCTATTTGAGATGTTGGAACTACAATTAGAAGAATTTCTTCTATAGATCGTAGTTCTGTTAGATCGGCCAGAACTATGACTTAGAGACTCTCTGATGTTGTTCAACTGCATTTTGACTTCCTCTAATTCTTTTGTTAGTAAGTCGACTTCAACCTGACTTGCTTCGAGAAGAATCTGCCAATCTTTCTTTTCTTGAGCGATTTTATTGTATTCGTCAATAACCTTCTGTAATTCATCAGCAACAATGTCCAAAAAATTTAGTAAGTCATTACAATTAGAACAATTAAAGGATCATACCTCACTTGTTTCACCTAGTGCCATGAAACATAGATTGACCATTTCATCATGATCATCTTCGGTTGTTTCTCCTTGATCCCATGCTCCGAGACTCTTAGGGTTCTCGTTTCTTCGATCGTTTCTTCTTCTCCGTTATGGGCAGTTTTGTTTGATATGTCCTGGTTTTCTACAGTTGTAGCAACGATCATCATTTCTTTTGAAATCATTGTTCTTAAAGTCCTGTTGAGGTCTCTGTCCTTTTTGTCTAAGCATTTGTCTCACTCCTCGATTTATAAGAGCCATTCCTTCGTCTTGATTTTCATGGACTTCTTCTCCAATTTTATTGTACTTGTTGATATGATTTTGTTCATAGGCCATCAAGTTGCCTCGAAGTTCATCGTATGTCATTTTCTGCAGATCTCCATCTTCAAGAATGGCAGCCTTAGTTTTCCAAGCTTTGGGAAGACTTCTAACAAATTTTCTAACTTGAAGTCCATTTGAATACACCATTCCAACTGATTTGAGTTCGCAGACAATTTTACTGAATCTTGAGAACATAGTTTCTACATTTTCATCTTCGGCCATTTTGAACAATTCATATTCATTTACTAGTGAACTGATTCGAGCCTCATTTACCTTGGTGGTTCCTTCATAAGTCACTTCTAGTTTGTCCCACATTTCTTTTATAGTTTCACATGTTGATATCTTGTAATAATAAGCTCCGCTCACTGCACAATATAACAAACTTATAGCTCTAACATTAGTTTGAATTACCTCTTGTTGTTCCTTAGTGATGTCAAATGATTCAGGATCAAATGGTTTTTCAGTGCCATTTTTGTCAGTCAGTCCAGGAATAGGCTTTGGTCCGTTCTTGATAACTATCCATGCTTGGTGATCATTTGAAGAGACAAAGATTTTGAACTTGTCTTTCCAGTGAGAGTAATGTTGTCCATTGAAGTATGGTGGTCGGTGTGAAGAATGTCCATCTTGAAGTAGAGCACCATGAATCTGATAGTGTGCCAGTGGATCTTTGCTCACGTGTGGTTAAACACTTAAAAGGTGAGACCTACTCTAACACCAATTGAAAGTCAAGAGGGAGGGGGTGAATTAAAATTTCCTTTAGTCGACTTCCTGTAATGGCCAATCGACTCACCTGCATGTTAGTAGAATAAATAAACAGTAATAATAACTTGCAGTAAGTAAATAACACATAGTGTATTTATACTAGTTCGGATCACCGATGTGTTGCCTAGTCCAGTCCCCTTGGATTACAAGGGTTTCCTTAAGAGTTTGTTGAGAACTTGGGTGTTACTGAATGTTACAATTAACAGCCCCGTCTGACATGCAAATCAGATCTTCTTCTTCGACACAACTTCTACCTGTATAACCTACACTCAGATTTCTCTTTCTCTTTTCTTTTCAATTGTTCACTCAAGTGTGTACAAAGTTTTATGAAAGATAAAAGAAGATTACAATATAAGTTCAAGTAAAGTTCATACTTCACATCTAAGTTTGAGCGGGGGGGTATATATATGAACATACTTGTGCTCTTGTAAGAAAAACCCAAGAGAGTTATACTTTAATCAAGGATTTGAGAAATCCCTTGATTGGGACAATTTTCTAATCCATGTCCATATTAGATATGTGCATGGTAAATCACATTCCTTCCTTCTTGACAGATATGATTCGATTTTGTGCTTGGCTGAAGGATTTATCTTGACTCTTTGGCTTGATTTGATTTTTTTTCTTCTCTTGATGGCTTGGCTCTATTGATGATTCCTTGATTTGTACCTATCAATCACGATTTTCTTGACTGATCTGCTGCCAGCTTATTTGCTTGATTGATTTGCTGCCAGCTTTAGGCCTTCTGTTAATGATTCTTTAATCCCTTTGATTATGCCTTTCCTTTATGAAGTAATTGTAAGGATTAGAATATATTCCTTTCCATGTTGGTGTTGTTTTGCTTGGATCCTTTCCTTATTGGATCTCCATGCCTGCGAGAATTGTGAGTAGTGTGTTAAGTGTCATTTATCAGAATTTACATAACATTAAGAAGCTAACAACAAACACTTGCAAAATTCTAGACATCAATCACATGCATTGAACATATTAAAAATTTCAGATGGCCCTGAGCTTCTGAATGTTATTGACTTTTTACTCATCATTAAAAATAGGTGAAACAACGTAAATCTACTTATTTAGATCATAATTACTAGTATTCACAGTAGTTTCAAATATTACTTTATGTATCACATTCGTTGGTTGGATACATCATGTATCTCGTATCCGCAAAATTGACAAAACAAGATACATGTTTAATTAAGGATTGTAACTAAAATGTTTAATTTAAGGAGGAAATCAATCCTTTAGCAACAACAAAGTGAACAACTTTTCTTTTTTGAAATTCGAATTTGTTTTTATGAATTTCGAGCTTCCTCTTCGAGATACACGTATTCGAAATATGTCAATAGTAGATACATTACAAACGTGTGTCTATTTATGTAGCATAACATAATTGCTCAATTAGTGGAGTAAATCACTCATTTAACAACTTTGAGTATCTGTTCTACCATAACAACTTCCTAAAAAATATCAAAACTTTCAAAATCATTTCCTTCTTTTTGTGAAAACTACCTAAAATAATGTACATTTCATGTTTCTACCAAAATTTAAATAACAATGTATCTCAAAATAAACACGTATATCTGAGATAAATAAAAATTAAAAGAATAATCATAAAAGCTAATACACATTTCTTGTATCTACATATACATAACTAACAATGCATCTAAATTAAAACATAATGTATACATGTAAATCAGATACATACGAAAATAATCAAACACATTGTAATAACATAACAAATACATATAATAATATTAAGATATTTTCTGAAGGTTATTTCTACTAAGGATGAAGCTTTCTTAAGGCTAATAGTTCTCTTGAGGCTTTGGAAGCTGATTGTATGTGGTTTGCTCTCTTCAATATATCCTGGTGTTTTTAGTGCTTCATCTTTTTTTCCTATTGTGTATGTTTTGGGACAGATACTGATGGAGTTGGAGATTGGAGGAGGTTGATGAGAGAGAAAGATATTTGATTGTTATTATAATGTAATTAATTGTGGAGTTTAAATGTAAAGATGATTAATCAATCTTAATTTTAAGGAATATGATATTTGATTGTATCTTTAATATAAATAGTATAAAATATTAAAAGTGGTAATATATGTAACTGTTTGAATAAAGGTAAGATAAGAATATATGATAGTGATATATGTCTAATAATTTAGTTTATCCTTAAAAATATGTCACTGCATTAGATTTATTTAAAAATAATAATTAATCAACAGATATACATGCATATACAAAGATGAATTTGTATATTTGATTAATCTAAACTATGACATAGGTTTGTTGCATGGATATTTCCATTTTTAGTTCGCCAGATACATGTATCTGACACATCCAAATCATGTATCTTGAATACATGCGAAATACATATATGTAATTATGTATACTTAAAAATTAAATGGGTGTAAATCATGTGTATGATAACTTACAATTTTTGAGTAAATCATCACGAATTATATCTTTTCTTGAAAGATAATGAATTTTCACTAATACATCAAATTAAAATTTTAGTATTATTGTATTTGGACTAGAATTTACAAAATTGTATATGAATTATACCTTTTTAGCATATATCTGGAACTGATTTAATGTATCTAAATATTATTGTGTTTACTTATTATTTAAAATTGTATCTAGATTAGACTTTAATAAAAAAAAGATAAATTAAACTACAAATACATACATAAACAAAATTTATGTTGTATATGATTCATTGAAACTATGACAGAGTTTGTTGCATTGTTATTATATGAAACATTAAATTAAATGTATATGAACAACTTTATGAAGTATGTATCATAGTCATTGTATCATATATCATGTACACGTTCAATGTGTATCAAATACATAGTAGATATAAGTAATGAAATTGATCAGACACTAATAAATACATATTAGATACATTACAGAAGTATGCATCAAATACATGATGTAGTATCAGATACATAAAGTGTGTGTATATTTTAATGTAAAATGATGATAATGTCAAAATTACCGCCTTCATGAGCACTAGCAATAACAGTCTTAGAACTTGGTGGAGGGGGCTGGTTTTGGGGTAGGGGTTTCCCGGGCTGGGGGTTGGTTTAAGCCTTAAGGGTAGGTGTAAAATATATATATAAAAATTTAAAAATAAGAAAATTTAAGAATTTAAATTTATCGGGTACAAAGTACGGGGCAAGTCAAGAAAAAAATATTGAAGAATGAAGTAATTTTTCTTAACTTTTGAAAGGAAAGTCATTTTTTCGTTAAATTTTTAAAAAATGAGTTAATTTGAATAACCTTTTGTTTGAATCATTTAAACCAACCGAAGGTGAGAAATAAAAAATATTTTCCTTCCTGCCAAACACACCTGATTTTCCCCAAATCTGGTTAGGCGGCAAGGCAAAAACACATTCCCGCCAAATTCAGAAGGCGTTAAAACCCAATGTTGACTTCAGTTGTCTTCGATGACCAGAGCTTTCGATACAATGGCCGGAGAGGATGAAGAAGGAACCTCCACCGTCGCTGTCGCCGTCGCCGGAGAGACCCACCAACTCCAGATTCCGATAAGCCGAGTGAAGAAAATCATGAAACTGGACCAGGACATCAACAAGATAAACTCAGAAGCCCTACATCTCATCGCTAGTTCCACCGAGCTTTTCCTTGAATTACTTGCAGAAAAATCTGCACAAGTCGCTCTGGAGAAGAAGAGAAAAACCATAAAGCTCGAGCATTTAAGAGTTGCCGTAAAAAGGCATCAACCTACTAGCGATTTCCTTCTCGATTCGCTTCCCATGCCTTCACAGCCATCGGATCGGTCTCCAAAGGTTCAAAGTCGTCCTCGATCATCGACAGATAAGCCACTTCCTTCCGGAACTCGAAGAATTGAGGCATTCTTTCAGAAGTGCACTTAAAACTCTGTGTTTACATACTATTTTGAATGGTTGTGCGAAATTATTATATTCACATTCAGAGTAGAGCTTATGATTATAATTTGAAAAGAAATTGTTATTTTCCGTAGACTTGTGATTATGCATTGCCAGAGGCCAATCTATGATATTTGAGACATTAGTTGCTGATTTTCTCTTCATACTTGGATTGAGAGCTTTGTATGAATATGAACTGCCCATGTGAGCTCCTGGATGTTTTTCTAGATGGAATTAATACAATGGCCATTTTGATTTGATTGGATAATTCTAATAAGCCTTTATTGACATAATGATCCATACATGAGCATCCAGAACTTGAAAGTAGAATGAATTCCTTGTAAAATGAGGTTCATATAGAACTCTAAGATGTTCATGTATCCCATTAATTCATTCAACAATGCCTTCTAAAGATATTCTGGACTGGATGCTGCCAACTCTGTTTCACCTTCGTTACTTTTTGTTCTATCTTGCATTTCTCCATGGAATACTCGACCTTCCGGGACAATAAAGAAAGCTTGTAGCCATCATTAAATTACTTATGTAAGCGCTTACCTAAATGTGGTGTTTATCTCTCAAAGGGATGGTCAAGACTAAGTTGAACTTTTGTAAGGCTAAAAGAGCCAAATGTTTTACTTTGTTTTCTTATTTGATGAATGATTGCCTGATTTAAGTCTTCCTAATGCAGATTAAAATGTTGTAAATTTCGCAAATGTCACTTAAACAACTCCACTTCATCAATGACTAATGAATAAAAAATGGTCTTGTTATGCTTTTATCTGTTCAAAGTAAAATCTGCCAAAGAAGGCAGGTTGTTCATTCATACTCATGCTGCTGATGATAAGATACAGGCTTTTGTGATCTTTCTGAAAAGATCTCATGGCGTAGAAGCCAAACTGCAGTATTCCCCTTGCATGAAACCTATTGTGTAAGATCATCTTTATGTGCTTGCTCTAAGAAATAAGCATAACGGGATTAACGAAGTAGCCTTTGAGCAAAAACAAACAAAGAGTGAATGTATTGATGCTTGTAACCAGGGAACTAGACACTCTACTTGGGTTTTTATTTGTACATACTCGCAGAAACTGCCCTCACTGTCTATTTGTGTCCTTTTTGAATAAGGTGACACAATTGTAGAAAGTCTAGACAATGTAAATTATCTTTTGCATGATTTTACTTTCCTATTAAGGATTTATCTGAATTTATCAAATTAGTGAACTCAAATAAATTCAAAATCTAACACACAAACTCTAAGGTGAAAAGGGGCCTGAAAATGATGAGACTACTGAAGCTGAATCATCTCCTGGATGAAAAGCAAAGCGACTACGGGAGAGGATCTTTCTGTGGTCTTCTTTCTTGGATTTCTTTAAAAAAGAAATGCTTTGCTGTGGTGTGTTGATGGGAGTTGATCCTAGCTGTTGTATACCCAAAGAAGACTTTTTATTCACAGGTGTAACATTGTTGAACCCTCCATTCAGGCTTCTATCCGAAAGACGTTTGCTGCTGGTGCTTGGCCTTAGGACAAAGAGATTCTCTTGCCCAACCGGCACCTGATTCTGCACTTTCTTCATTTCCTGAAAGAACAACATTACATCTTGTAAAAGGAGGTAATGATTAAGTTTTGAGGTACACATTGTTCATTTATTTTATGTGAATGTTGGATACATTGGAAATGTTCCAACGTATCTTGGATTTGAGATTTTGTTGTTGTTGAAAAGATTGGAAGTTAAATATTGTACATAGAAGCTGAGAAAAGTGAAACTGTGAATAACAAAGGAAATTCTTTACATGGTTGTGGTGCTTACCCGTTGTCTTTGTTTCTCTTCATCTCTTTCTTTCCTTAGCAAATTATACTCTTCCAACATTGCAAACAGCGGTACCTGGGGGTCAGGCACTTCTGTTATGTAAGATGTGACTAGGTAATAATTGAATTAACCTATAACTGGAGGGCCAAAATGGTTTACTACTTTCATTGCTTTCTCAGAGTTCAATTCTATTGCATTCAGATATCCCGGCAGTTAGAATATGGCCAGGTCACTTTAATTCTGTTAGCTAACCTTCATCTAGTTATTCAACATTTGGAAAAGATTCGTATGCATTCCTTATGTCTCTGTTGCAACACCAAATTAAAGGGCAATGTTGTTTATGCCATCTTTTTCCATGACTACTTGTTGCTGGTCCTCCCTAGTAGCATTTCAGTCTTAAGTTGATGTTGTTTCTGTTGATGAACATGTCTTATAAATAGGCGCAGTTAGTAACATCAGTTCTTTTTTTCACCCTTTTTCTGAAAATATATTCGATTAAATTCTGCAATCATTTTCATTGCATCTCAAGTTTCTGGCCAAATTACTTTGTTATTTCTTTTGAACCCAACATGGTTAATGAGGTCTATAGTTAATTCATTAAGATGCTTATGTTTGATTCTACTTCTGTTACGTTTTCCAATGCTTCTTAGTGATTCTTTTCACATTTAGAAAATGTTAGAAAGCAGGCATACTTTTTGTTGGCTGTTTCTTGGTGTTTACCAAAAAGATTGTTTATATTCTCACCAGATAAAGGACCCCCTACCTCTCTTATTTACGTATGCAAAAAGCGTATATATAATGATGAAGTAGACTAGGATTGAAGATGTTACTGAACTGTCATGGTGTTCTATACTATCAGCATTAGCTTCTGCATGGTCTAAAGGGATGAAAACTTAAAAAAACCATGGATAAATCCAAATCAGTTTCTCTTAACTTCAAGTGAATGAATGATAGACATAAGCCCAATACTTCATATGAAACTATGAGTAATTCTTTGTACTAACCAATAAAAGTATTTTATTTGGGGATATGAGTTACTAAGTTCTTACCTCATCGTATAGAAAAGGTTTCTTTCTTTCTTCTTCCCAGCTTTTAGTCTTGGCTATCAGCATATCCACCAAAGCTGCAAATAAAACAAAAAAAGAAGGCAACAAAATTAACTAATCCTTGATCCAGAATCTAATCAAGTTTTCACCTTTTACTGGATAACACATAATGGATCTGTCTAACTTGTAGAAGCACAATTTGGTTAATTGATTAAGTCATATTTTCATTCAACAGGTAGTTGTTTAAGTCACAATTATGGCTGCCCATTACTAGGCTGATATTGGTGATGGCAAGCCATTAAGCAGAAATATTTTGATACCTGGTATTTTGTTAACCATGACTCTGGCCCGTTCTGCTCTTCTCAAATTCTTGTGAGCACCTCTGCTTACAGAATACCGGTTGTCGTCCTGAAAATATGGATGTTTAAGATGAACAGAGGTGATGAAAAAAAGTAAATGGGCTACTGAGTCTCATAGGTGAAGGAACTGACCCTACTATACTCTTCTAACCATAGCTCCTCATCACGAGCTAATATCCATTTTTCTACCTTCTCCATTATAGCCTTCCTGCTAGATGCCTCTTCTTGTGCTTGTGTTATCTGTTTATTCATGCTGGTGAGGAGATCAGCATGGTCAATCTCCCCTTTTGGAGGTTTTGGTCAGTATCAATTTCAAACATAGTATGTCACCTTAATAATTAAAAAATGGAACACTTAAATTGGACCAACCAGAGTTCATTAGTTTCATAATACTTTCCATCTCTAGCCGTGAGGGAATTTCCATGTGGGACCGTTTGCATATCTCCTCAAGATCTATTTGTTTTCTAAGGAAAAGCTCTTTCATCTTGCTTGCTTTTAGCTGATCCAGTCTCCTGACTTCTGTCTCAGCCTTGGAAATTTTAAAAAAATTCAAAATCTCTTACCTCGTAGTACTGGAGGATAAATAATTTGTAATTTTATTATGTCACTGACCTGCTGTATTATGTCCAGAGTAAGGCTTCCAGGAGTGGAGATATCTTTTGATGACAACGATATCAAAGCAGTGACATTGGAGAACCTTGCACGGTCTTTCTGGGGTGTGTCCATGAGATTCCACAAGTTTGTCAATGATTTCCCTAGTTGGTGAAGCTACAAATACACAAAGCATAGTGAGGAGAGTAATTTTGCTGATTTTATTGATCGTTTTGCCTGTACTTACAAAACAAATAAAGGACAGAATTTGCCCCACTTGAATTATGTTTCTTTACAATTTGCTTAGTCAGTGGCTTTCGAATACTAAGTCTGCAATTGTCATGAGTTGTTGGCTACTTGAACCAAAAAAGAGCATACTTGTTTTTAGATAAGAGAATGTGCTGAGTTGATGAGATTACCTTTTCAAGCCGTGCTTTCTTATCTGCTTCTAATGACCGAACTGTGCTGCCAAGTTTTTCCAATATACTGTCACTAATGTTTTTTGACAGTCCAGATAACTCATTCAGGCTTGGATGAACCTTTGTAATGATCAAAGAAGAATCTGTTCCCAGCATTGCTGCTAAGCTCCGGATCATGCTAATGTAGCTTTCAACCTTTTGAAGTCTCTCGATCTTCGATGCAAGAACAGAGTAGTAAAAGGCAAAAAAGGGAAGAAGATAAATGGGTAAACAAGAAATTTCAAAACCTTTCAGTTGATGGCATCTTAGCTATAGTGCCAGGCACAAAGGTTGAGTATCTCATTCGTACCTTCTCATTTTGAAGCCGCTGAAGCTCATTCTGGTACTCTTCTAGTTTTTTTAGTGATAGATCATTCCCATGTACTAAAACATTTGATGACAAATCATTGTACTCTGATTCACCTGCTATTTCAGCAGAAATCTTCTGAATTTGTCCTTGTACAGCTCTGAATTGTTTCTCCCTTTCTTCTTTTCTAATTCGCATTTCTCTCAGAGCAGGTGCAATCGACTCTAGCTGTTCTTTTAGTGTTCCAGTCATCTTTTCTGGCTGCCGAATACAAATTCATTCCTTGTTATGTAAGTTCAATCACTGAGTATCTCTTATGCAAAAGATCCAGTGGTGTGTTTCAATTTTAAAAAAAGAAAAAGCATGTATATCCTCTCAGGTCATTGATCTAACTAACATCCTAGTCATAGTCATGTCATGATGCTAACAGACAGTAATACTATCTGTGTGGGTGCGTGCTCCTCGTTAGGGAAAGAAGGGGAAGGCGATCTGTTGTCTCATTGATGTTTGTTTTTAGACTGGTCCACCTTTCACCATGAGCTTTT